TCATAAACGTTGAAACTGCTCACTTTAAAATGGCTGGCACTTGTATAAACTCACGTGTTAACTGACAATTGAAAGTATTCAAACAATTTTACTTTAATCAGTTTATAAATGATAAGCTGAACAGTGATATCTGGTACGGTTACATTATAATCAGTTAACTTAGGTATCTGCTTACAATCATGATCTTCAAGTGCCAGATCTGTGACACTTAGTGACAGTCATCAGCGATCATGGTTTTCCTCTCATTCCTTTGCTCGGACATTATCCTGATCGTTCTCTGTCACCCTTCTGTTTACGTTATCCAAGTAGGTAGCTCTAGGCCTACCCCTGCCTTGTTTGCCTTAAAAAAGATTCAATTATATTTCTAGATATCACAGTGCCCAGCACCATTTTGTTTGGTTTAAGAGAGATACTGACATTTGTGACGCAGCATAATGGAATCAGGCTCCCGTCAATTTTTGGGCATGTAGAGTTATTGGTATCATTTTAAAGCTTATTCACTTGTCTTTATTTGGATTAAAAAAATATCCATTTATCTTGAATACAAGTCGAGATATTTGCAAATGAAGGAGATGGGGGTCACCTGTTTTCAGAGGTAAAATTAGTGAGAAAATGGCCGACAAAGATTAGTTATTTCCTTTGCTTAAGAGTCTATGGTAACTGAAAATTTACATTTTTGTGCCTTTAATCAACGTTTTTCAGAAAAATCCACACAGAAATAAGTTCTTCAATGGGCATGAAAGGTGTTGAGCCAAAAAACAAAAATTTGAAAAAAAATTCACAAACCTGCAGAAAAATGCAAGTTTCTTCACTTTGATTATTTTGACGAGAGCCTGATTCCACCATGCTGCCTCACATTTTGAATTTGAATGTTCTAAGGCAAGAAAGTTAATTATGTGGCAGAGCATCATAAGAGGCATGGAAATCCATTCTAGCATATTATGGCTTCAGTTCCTGCAAATGTTTATATTTTGGAAGCTTGTTGGGATTAAGTGGGACAAGACCTCGAATGAAAAAAGTTGACTCTCCATGTTTTGTAGAAGCGGTTCCCAATCATCGGCAAAACTCAGTTTAAAAGTTATCTCACCAGTTAGTTCATATTGCAGAGCCTTGATGTCAACTATTGGATTACCAGGCCTGATCAATCTGAGGGCATGACATGTTGCTGAAAAGTTCATTTAAAAAATGTGTGCTCCAGGTATTTAACCGCACGCGGCTTTGAGTTTTCCCTTGGAGATTCCATTATTCTGACATAATCAGCCAGCCAAAAATCGATTGTCTACCAATTGCTCTTTGGATTGTGCTGTGAGCACTGTCGACTCGCCTCTGTGTATCGACTTGCCTCTATGTATCGACTTGCCTCTGTGTATCGACTTGCCTCTGTGTATGCCTTTTTGTAAGGATTTTCTGTTCAATTATTTTGCCGTGCTGTTGAGAAACATGAGTCAGTGCTTTATTCATTATAACATTTCAATTTTGATAGTTGCTATTATTAGTCCATAGAATACATTTGTTGTAAGTTCTGTCTTGTGTCAGATAGTGGTGCACACATGACACAGATTCTCTTGATGTTGAGGAGTCTGAATCTTGTATAGTACGTTTGGGGACGTCTTTCCTGTATGTCATTGCTGGCACAAAATGTTGTTTCTGAGCCCAATTTCTTTTCCACACTTTGTCAAAAGTTTTTTTTCGGTCCTCATCTGGCATTGTGCTGCAATAGGTGAAGGAAGTTTTGCAGCCGCAGCGATCGCCGAGAATTTTGGCTGGTTTCTCCTCCAGGACAAAATGTAACCTTTGACGTGTACTTTCTTTCCAGATATTCCTGACCTTTTTCTCTTTTTCTTTATTGACTTCTTTTGTCCATATGTCTTTACTGGCTTTTTGCTTCCCCTTTGTTCCCTGCTCTTGGTGTACGGTCTCCATTTCTACGGTTTCACCAATGTCTCTCCTTCTTATGCCCTCTACTTCAATACCTTCATTTGGTGAGGGTTCAATCTCAAACAATGTGTTTTCTTAAGCTTGTTCAAGATCATGTTCCCTGATGGGCTCTGTGCCCTGAATTTGAGGCTGTTTCCAAAGGCTGCAGGCTTTCTTCCTCTTCCAAAGACTTGTTCAAACACCCAAGACCATTTATATATTGTGCCACCTGATCTCTTTCTCTCTTTCGATTTTTGTCTTCACTAACATCGTTTACCTCTCCAGTTGACAATCTGAGGTGCTCATTTACCTGAGGTAACTGGACATCTGCCAACTTGCTGTTGGTCATTATGATGATGCCTTTCATAACACATGCCTCTTATCTGTCTTCCCTTACCATGTCCTCTACTCCAATACCTTCACTTGGTATGGGCTCGATATCTCAATCAACATTTTTTCTTGAACTTTTCTTGAACTTGAACTTGAACTTTAGAATATCCTTTTTATTCTCAAGATCATGTTCCATTATGGGCTCTTCTTAGCGATAGATTTGTACCCTTTGCTGAAATATAATAATAATAATAATAATAATAAATAATAATAATAATAATAATAATATAATTCTTATTAAAAGTACAGTATGAAATCATTCTTTGTCAGTTAAACTTGTTTTTTTATCTTTCAGACTCAAAAGAGATTAGTTTCTTGATCTCCAATAAAAAATAGCTTAGCTAGGCCCAGTCAAATTTTCATATAATAAAATAGTCATAAATGGTCATATCTAATCGTGTAAGTGTTTAAAAGCTACAGGGAATGTCAAATTCACCTCTGCGTATAAGCGTGTAACTGACAGATACACGCTTAGAGTGGAATCATTATCTCGAAGCACAGGATTGATGTTCGTCAAGTGGCAACATTTGTCTCAACAAACCACTACAGTCTAATCGTGTAACTGACTATGTCTAGCTGAAAAAGGCTTATAAAGTACATTAATATATGAATTATGACACAAATCATGATTTGTATGCATATGTAAAAATGTATCTTTATGGAATCAACAAAAATCTTACCTTTTATTTTTATGCTTAAATTGTAGCATAAGATGATGAAATGTGGTGCTCCAATGTGAACTTCAGCATGTCTCCAGTTACACGGATAGAGTGAGAGAGGGAGGCTGTACTTTTGTCGAGGCGCGATTAGAACACAATCTGTGCTGTTTGTAGTGCATGATGACCTCCGGTATAAATAGAAAACATGCGAAAATGGCGTCTGACCCGTTTAAACAACAAATCCGTGTTGACCCAATTTTTCCAGCTACACGGTTAGAGAAAAACGCCGTCGATATGTGGTTTTGGATTACTTATTGTGGCAGATACTGTGCCAGTCTGTATTGTCATTTGGTCATAAGTCACCTCTCTTCATCTTTGCCAGCGTTGACTGGTGCTTTGCACTCCTACATAACGTTTATGAACAATGCAATTGAAATTATCCAAGATGGCCTCCCATTGTCGAGGAGAAAAGTGGTTGTCATAGACAGATGGATGTCTTGGACAGTGCCATATTAATGATTTAAAAAATAACGCAAATGGGTTTTTTTTTTGGGGGGGGAGTGGACATTTGTACTGTACAGGTGATCGTTTTGGACAGGTGGCTGTTAGTGCAGGTTCATGTTTACCTGATTCCATCTGTGCAGACACTTTGTCATCATCTTTTTGCTCAACCTGGGTTGGGGTGGTGATTTACAAAGAAATCTACTGCACTGTTCTCCGACTGGATGAAGGTGCAACATCCATAATGGTAGCATACCATACAAAAATATCTTAATAGTCTGATGTTATATTTGTGATACATACAGTTGAACCTACTCTAACGACCACTTTACAAGATAATCACCTTTACAAGTGACCACTTCCCTCTTAAAGATTTCCATTGTTTCTTTACCACAATGAAACTATTCCTGAATCCCACCTGTCTAAGACAACCATTTTTCTCCTCGACAATGGGTAGCCGTTTTGGACAATTTCATCTGTCCTTCTTTGTATTTACTGCTTCTAACCTGAGGGCCAAGAAATTCGTCTTCAAAATTACTTCTGTTAGTGTCAAATAGTCAACAAGAATGTTACACTCCCTCCCCTTGCCCCCCTTCTACTTTAGTATAATATTTTCAGAGAGTTGTCATTTAAAAGTATAATGGAATTTGACAATCATATGGCAGTTTAGGTCTTTCAAAAGCTGTAATAATGTCGAGCAGGCTGTAGACATAGGGTGTCTTTATTGGGTTTTATTTCTTCCCTTTTTATTCACTCTCTGTGTCTATGCTTTAATTTTCTACATGAAAAGACATAGTCTCATTATCTACTAAAAAAAACTGTAAAAATTTCCTTTCTTCTTCTGTGATGCTACAGGAGGAGGCATTGTCGTTATTATCACCATCTTAGTGGTAGTGTTCATCGTGCGTCACAAGACAGGAAATAAAGACGACGGAGACAGTGGGTCAGCATCCAAGCCGATAGAAGTGTCCCAGCTGTCAGAAGTTTCGGAGCCATCAGAAATTTCCCAGCATTCATCTTCCTCCACTCAGCCAGACGATGAAATTGGTGACAGGCTCTAACAAGGATCAAATGAGTAAATCATGATGGAAAATTTTGGAATTGAATCTGCGCTTCTAATCTTTTCTGATGCCCTTGATCTATGAATTGCATTAGAAAGGCAGAAAAAGAAGTTTGTTTCGTGGGGAATATATATATATATATATATATATATATACAAAAAAATCTTTTTTAATAGTAAATGGGAGCATAGACGAAAAAGTACCTCGGTAGTCTTTTTCATTTTTCTATGTGGGTTTCATTCATGACTTACTGTACACTAAATCTGGGCATTTCCAGAAAATCCTGTCCACTCTGTAACTATAATATACGATAAGGATTGTCATGAGAATCTTTTTTCCCCAAAAATGCACTGTATCCCTCAATATTTAGTGTGACAAGATTGTGTTTTGTTCATACTTTTGTTTTCAGAGAACAATTTTTTTTCTTCATTTTTCTCAGTTTTGTAGTAATAGTAAATGGATAGAGTGTGTAATACCTTGGAGTCCTTCGTATTTATTCACTCAAAAGTATTTTCTCATTTTTGATCAGCTTGTGTTTTAATTTTGTAACAAAGTACCCCAATGAACAAACCTTTCTCCTTGGTTGGAAGCACTGCATTTGACAGAGAAACCAATGATCTGTTCATGAAGGCTCTTTCTCTAAGTCTGCTCACTTACTACTTGTGTGCTGTAAGTTTCTTTTGATGTGGGATAGTTTTAGTTTTATTAAGTTTTACGGCACTTGCAGCGCAAATAGAAGATTAGAGGTGTTAATGGGGTTTAATAAATAAAATATATGCAAAGAATGAATAGGAAAGGATGAGGTGAGATAAGGACAATAGATGTTGGATATGAAAGGAATATCCTGCACCAGAGCACCCGCCAACCACACACTGATATTGGATTGCAGCACAATGAAATCAGATAGTGCCGAAGATTAGAGGTGCTACAAGAGAGGAACAAACACACAAAAGGAGGAGAGATAAGGACGATAGATGTTTGATAGAAATGAATGAGCAAACCCCACCAGAGCACCCACCAACCACCCACAAAGGGTTGTTGTTAATGGCGAGTTGCACAATAAGGGCAACATTTTGCTACCCAGTGAAGTTTTTGTCAAATACTGTTTGAAGTTTGAAACACTCAAGAAATTTTATAATTTTGCACCTGACCTGTTTACATTGCTCAGTTTAATAATCTTGGAATGTTTTAGGCTTTGTGATGTAGCTCAGTTTTATCACCTTGGATAATGATGGTTTGTTTATGTGGCTCAAGGTTATTTAATGTCCAGCTTCATGTAACTCAATTTCATCTTTTGCCCTTGATCAGCGACTCTGATTCCGGGTTAAAAAATAATTTCCCTCTCCTCCCCCTTTCACTTTCACACTCTAGCTGTTTTAGTTTATGAACTTCCCACCTCCATCTTCACTCACTTCGTCTTTTATATATATTAATGTTTCACTCGCATCATATATGTATGGCAGAATGGTGAAATCAGGGGCTCGTCAAAGCTGTGAAATAAAAGAAAACAGCATTTTTCTGGGCTTTGTTTTTTCAGAATCTTCTTTTTTTTCAGCTCAACGACTTATGTGTCCATTCAATAACGCATTTCTGTGTTGGTGTTGCCTAAAAACGTCCATTAAAGGTACGAAAAAATTTACAGTTTCCAGGCGCACTAAAACTTTGGAAGTCAACTAAACTTTTCGAGAACTGGCGGCATTTTCCCTTCAATTTTACCTCTTATATACTTATACCAGGCCACCCAACACCTTTAATGACAAATATCTCGACATCTATTCAAGATAGGTCGGTATTTTTTTTGGCCAAATGAACAAGCTTTAACTTTAAGATGATACCAATATCTCCATATGCCCCAAAACTGACGGGCGCCTGATTCCACTACGTCATGACTCAAATGTCGTCAGCTAGCTGTTCAAATGTACTGAGCCCAGAGAGCAAAATATTTCAGGAGAGAAAAAAAACCCAACTGTTTCTTTCCTTTAAGAATTATACCTCTACATTTTGTATCTTTTTAATGGATTTTTCAATAATCAGAATCTGACATTTCAACAAAATATTTCATGAGCGTATGTAACCATAGATTAAGAAACTGCGATAAATTAAAAAACTGGATTTCAACATTTAGGCTCTATACATTTGAACAGCTGGCAGACGATATGCAGTTGTCATTTGTTGTGAAAAGCATGTTCAAGTAGCCTACTGTACTATATATCACAAGTTGGTTTTTTTTAAGAAATATCTTTAACAATAACAGGACCAGATAAACCTTAGAAATTCCATGTACATTTACTCACAATGTTAAAATCATCAAAGTGCGCAAAGTTGAAAAAGGAATAGAAATAGAAGGTATGATGGTTGGTTCAACTCAGGCATGATACAGCCTTCCTTAGAGTATTACGAGGTGGACAGAGGTCTCAGACTATTCTGAAATGTGCAGACTGTAAAACTGGATTTCAAAAATAATTTCTGGGCAAGATGATGAGTGAATTATGCGTTTCTTATGTTTAAGTCTGTTTACATGTATCATATGGTGTAGTCTGTGCTCTCCTGCTAATATTTAAGCTCTCTTAGAACAGAGAGAGAAGCACCAGATAGGAAAAAGGAGTGCAATCATTACTATGCTTCGGCCAGACTTCTGTAATTTAATAGTGACACTGGTATTCTGCTCCTTTAGTCTGAAAGTATTTTCATATGGGGCGAGGAAACGGGAGGGCATCGTTTCTTTGAACATGATGTGTAGGCTACATTATTTTTTTCAATTTTTGACAATTCTTGATGTGCCATCGTTCTCAATTAAACGACTGTGAAGTTTGCTTGACTGTTACTGTTGTTATGTACCATGAGATCAAGTGATAAATTATTCAGCCGCATTATTTTTCCATCAACATTATTTAAAGACATCAACATTATTTAACTACTTTTCCATGGTTTCATTTTGTTTTGAGTTGTTTTTGTACATTGGTGAAAGCCATAATGCTCAATATTCGATTTTTACATCAAATAAAACATCAACTCTAAGTTTCTTTTGTTGTTTTTTTAATAGCTTTCATGAATAGCAAGCAGAAAGGGCCGTTATTTTCCATAGGTGCATTGGTCCTGGATGATACGGTTGCTTTAAAGCACAATTGGGGGCTATCCCAGAAAATATTGTTTTGAGAAAATCAAAGGAAAAGTTTTTGCCCCTTGTTCAGTCTCTTTAAGACAATGGAGAGTCTTCTCTATAACCAAACTATACCAAACTTTTCCTACTATAGGTAGGGCAATGCCTACTTTTGGTGTGGGTCAAGATTTCTGGAAACTCCTGAAATCTGGGTTAGCCCCTTTGTCCTTAAAAGCGACCATATATGTGAGGATGTGGAACTTCAACTCTCCGCTCAGTGTACACCTAATATCGTTGGTGTTGCAAGCAGTTAAGTCCATGTGGGCAGTTCTGCTGCATGCTCCCCGTGATCTGACCGGACACTGGCACCCCCCACTCGGGGACCGGGGGAGTTTCACTGGATGCTCCCATCGTCCACTCGGGGACTGGCGAGTTAATTACCAAATATGACCTTAGCCAGGTGCTGAAGATCATAATTCTCATAGATTTTTAAAGAGCTTCGTGGCATATTCTAGCCTCACCACATTATTTCGTTATTGATAATAAATATTGTTGCTCAAGTCCAAATTTTTTTAATTTGTTGATTTTTACACCTTTCCAAAGCTCTATCAAAGATGTACCTTTCAACATCACTAAAATGCAGTTTAATGCTACAGTCAAGTCATGTTCCTGCTTTTCTTGATTCCTGATAGGAACAACACAACAAAAACTGTTCTTTGTCTCTGGTATTAAAAGTACCAACATGGACTTAACTGCTTGCAACACCAACGATATGAGGTTTACATTGAGCGGAGAGGTTTTTGGCCTGTGTGTCACGATGCGTGGTGTGACGTGTCGTAAACGCATGACTAGCGTGGGCGTGTCGTAAACGCGTGATTAGTGTGGGCGTGTCGTAAACGCGTAATTAGTGTGGGCAGGTCGTAAACGCGTGATTAGTGTGGGCGTGTCGTAAACGCGTGATTAGTGTGGGCGTGTCGTAAACGCGTGATTAGTGTGGGCGTGTCGTAAACGCGTGATTAGTGTGGGCGTGTCGTAAACGCGTGATTAGTGTGGGCGTGTCGTTAATGCGTGATTAGTGTGGGCGTGTCGTAAACGCGTGATTAGTGTGGGCGTGTCGTAAACGCGTGATTAGTGTGGGCGTGTCGTAAACGCGTGATTAGTGTGGGCGTGTTGATGCTTTTTAGTAGACTATGGGTCAAAGTAAACTCAGGCCCTCCATTCCAAACTGACTTGACCTTGTTGTACTTGTGCGCACCAGTGTTTTCATAACAGGTAGACCTACCATCTTCTTTCCTATATATAATACATCTACAAATATTATTATATCGCCCTTATCTCCTCTCCTTCTCTTTTGTCTTTGTTACTCTCTTAAGTAATACCTCTAATCTTCGGCTCGCTTATGACTTTTTGTGTTGCAAGTGCGTAAAACTTATTAAAACAACAAGTAACATCGCCTTTATTACTCTATTATTAGTATTAGTGACGTACGTGTGTGTAAAAAAAGCAAAAAATCGTATGTTGTTCAAAATACAAAACTGTTCTAGCCTAATCATCAAAAGTCCTTAGTATGTGGTTGGCGGGTGCTCTTGTGTGGTTTGCTCCTTCTTCCCTATCAAACATCTATAGTCTTTATCTCTCCTCCTTCTTTTTATGTTTGTTACTCTTTTGTAACACGTCCAATCTTCGGCACTTGTATGACCTTATTGCGTGCCATAAAACTCTAACTAAAACTCAATTTACTGACAATTTGAGAATGAATATGTTTCAGTTGGACATTCTAGCACAGAAAACTACGCAACATTTCTTTTTTGTCTTCGTTGATTTTATTAACGAGATGAAAATGTTCACTGATTTCTGGTATTTATTTCTCTACTAATGAGAGACGTGAGCACAGTTCGAGTAAGTGTTTCTCTGAGTAAATAGTGCTGGGAAAAAGTAAGACATTCAGACAAAAACAACAGAGGGGAAAGTAAAGAAGAAAGACTACCATTGGCGCCCTTCAACCACCCACACGAGTAAGCGTGAGCGAAATTAAATACATATAAATATAATTTTATAATTGTAATATTTGTTTGTTTGTTTGTGAGTTTTCCATCGACGTGGACCGGCGTCTGTGGTGAAGTGGCTAGGCACTTCTTTGTTACACGCAAGAGACCCAAGCTTGTAATACCGAGTGGGGAGAAGTTTTATCGAGTATCTCGGTAGGCCTACATGTATTTTGCTGGGATCCTGTATCCCTCACAGCCGAGGTGAGATAAATAAATAAATACTAGATATTATATATTAGAAAAAAATGTCTGCAGGTTCCAATCTAAGTCATGGACAAGCCAATTCCCTGAGAGAGAGAGAGAGAGAGAGAGAGAGAGAGAGAG